GAAGCAAACAGTGACTTTATTCTTTATGCAGTTTTGTAACCTGACATACTGCTCCCTTCTCCCTGTCCCACTCAGGGAAAGGAGCAATTGGGATGAATCAGTGCTGCATTTGTTCCAACAGCACGTTCAATCTATTTTGTTTATTGTGTATTGCCCTTTGTGCCTTTACCTGTCTCTCATACTCCATCGAATGCTTTCCTGCTGATGACTGCATTTACAGCAGAGGGCTGAGATGTTGCTGAAGTCAGCAGCACTAATGCTGCATTAGAGAATCCACTTCAGGGAAAATAGTGTTAGATTTAACCCATGGGGTGCCAGTGCATTGAAAAGCTCTATGTTCAGAGGCACTCTGTGTTTCCCAAACAAACAGTATGTCAAGCTTTGCTTTCACAAACAGTAAATGCAATAGTAATTCAGTGGCAGTTTGCTGCAAAATGCTGTACAAACAGTAGGATGAAATTCCCCTTGTGTGGCAAGCTTGCGATGACTTTCTCTGCTCAATTTGTTTGCACTGGGGCTGTGCAAAAGGACTAGGGCCAAACTGGTGTAAAACATGTCAGCACTGATAGCAGTTTTTCTTGATTCATGGCTATATGGGTCCCGTGATCCCCAGACAGCAATGCTTATTATTCCTATGCCTCAAACCAGAACAACCGCCACAGGGATACCAGTGTTCTGCCCCATATGTAATCATAGCCTGCAGGCAGGATTTTTCTCCCATTTCTTGATCACAGCTGTAATGTCACCTGTTAATTAGCCCACATCATGCAAAGATGCTGCACAAACATGAAGGCAGACACAATCGTTGTCTACTGGGATTTTTTATCTAAAAGCCAGACTTTCTAAACTGCTTCAGATTTTTGAATGCCCAGTTATAAAAATTCCACATTCATTGCTCTGGGTAAATGGATGCTCTCTACAAAACCCACAACAGACAGAGTTAAAGAATGGGGATGGTGAGTGGGCTGGAATAACAAGCAAATCAAGTAGTGGAAATGATTTGCCATGTCCTCATAATGCAAAATTTTGATGGTTTAATGATTTTTTGGTTACACATGGACAGAAACTTCCATGTTTCATTGCTTCCATTATGCATATAGAAACCACCCGCTTCCTGTTGGACAGTCCAATTTCCTTCATCCGTCAACCTTCATGCATTTTCTCTTTGTGACGTATCCTGAGAAGTTTATATAGCTGATCCCTTTATACACTGATTACCTCTGCTGTCCCTCTAACATTCCTCTTATCCTTGCTTTAACTTCAGGCACAGCCCTGCTTTCTTAATCCAAGCAGCCGGTATTTGAAATCACTTTGGGGAGTCTGTGGGAAGATTTTGAGATTGGAAGAAAATGCTAGATACCCACATCCTCCAGGAACTTCTGTTTGGAACTGAGGTAGAGCCTTGAAGTGAATGCAAGATTATATGTTATCCTCTGATGGGCTGCTTATTTTCCTGCCTTTCCACACTGTTCAGTCAGGAAGCCTTTTGATCTTAACTTCAGTGTGTTAACTGAAGGGTGATTGGGGTGAGAAACAAAAGCCTAGATTACTCTATCCAGTTAAACTGAAATAAATGAGGCTCCTGCTAGGACTCTGAAACAGTTATGGCCAGTGGAGTCCCTTCATCCCCCAATCTTTTATGATCCGTTATAAAGAAGGTGGATCCACCTCCTTTTAGCGGTCAGTTCAGGGAAGGTTTAGTGAACTTTGCTAGCACCTTACAGACATTTCTGAGCCTTGGTGCTCCAGGGTTCTGTTCTGAAACATCATACACTTGACAAAATGTCATATTTCTAAATTAGTTCAGGGAGAAATTCTGGCTTACTAAGTAGTGCTATAGGAAGAATGAAGAAGTGTTGATAATCCAGTGTAGGATCTTGTGAAAGCTGTAGGGAGGATGATTTGCTCATGAATTTTCTCAGTGAAACTGGACTGTATGATAAGATTACTTTATAATTCTAACTAAATTTCTAGTTTTAATTCAAACAAGACATGGGAAATTTTGGATACTTGACTATTTAAACATTTCAAGAATGCATAATTTCCTTTCTTTAAAAAAACCCCTCCCATTATATTATTAGGATTTTGGGGAAACATATTGTTACTTACCTTCAGATGCACATCAATGAGCCTTTTTACTTGACCCAAAAGTACCTTGTTGTCTTCCTTGAATGGAGCCACTAAAATGGGGGATCAAATGTCCAGTTTCATTTTTGATCGCCTCATGTTTCAAACTTAAAGCCAGCTGCTGAGTTTATAAATGCGTAAGTATATATGGCCTCTGTCTAATTCTGCGCTGAATCCTGTGAAAGCAATATTTTTATTAGGTGTGTCAAGAACACTCTGCTATACTCTAGTTAAAATGTACATACATTCCTGGGTGCCCATGTAACACAGGGCTGTGGAAGAAAATGAAGTACTAAATAACACACTATTAAACCTGACTTACATTTTTTGCAGATTGAAGTTGTGACAGCAGACAGAAATTGTGTCGTCCAGAGGAGAAGATGTTTATTTTAAAAAATTGTGTTTGGTTTAAACCATTTGAGAAACTCTCCTCTAAAACCAGGTTTCTTTGATATCTCCTGTGTTCTTGGCATATTCGAGTAAGATAGTTGCCAGGATATAGATCAGTGTGGCAAAGCCATGTTTTAATGTTTTTGTAGTCAAAAGTTGAATTTCGTCTCAGCATTTTGGTTCTTATTTGAAGCTATTCTGAGATGTCTGTTCTTTGAACCTCTCTGGAGATTTTCTTTTTAAATTAGAACTACTTTCCAGTCTTAACAGGTTATGTAGCTCACCCTGCTGCTGTAAAACAGGGCCAACTATAGCTAGATATTTCTGGCAGAAATAAGTCTAACCTGTTCTTAGAAACATCGGTTTGCTGAAGAAAAGCATACCTGCAGTAGTAAAGGACAGTGTTTGGTCTGAAGCAATGTCTTATGGTGCATTACTTCAATAGCTCCAGTGTTTTACTACATAGTTTTGCTTTAGAGTAGAATATTTCAGTTGGAAGGAACCTACAACAGTCATCTAGTCCAACTGCGAACTGCTTCAGTTGAGTTAATCCATGTAAAATCATGGAATGGCTTGGGCTAGGAGGGACCTTAATGTTCATCTAGTTCCAACCCCCCTGCCATTGGCAAGGACACCTTCCACTAGGCCAGGTTGCTCAGAGCCCTGTCCAAACTGGCATTGAACATTTCCAGGGATGGGACATCCACCTCTTCTTTGGGTAGCCTGTTCAAGTGCCTCACCACCCTCACAGTAAAGGATTTCTTCCTAATATGTAATCTAAACCTACACTTAATTTGAAGCCATTCCCCCTTATGCTATCACTATAGGCTCCCTTCAGGTGCTGGAAGGCTGGAGTTAGGGCCCACTTCTCAAGCTCGTCCAGGTCTCTCTGATGGATCCTGTCCTTTAGGTGTGTCAACCGCACCACTCAGCTTGGTGTCATCTGTAAATTTGCTGAGGGTGCACTTGATCCCTTTGTCTGTGTCATGAAATCAGATATTAATTAACACTGGTCCAGTATGGACCCCTGCAGTACACCACCTGTCACTGATACCCATTGAGACTCTAAGCTGACCACTACCCCCTGGATGTGACTGCCCAACCAGTTTCTTATCCATCTAACACAGAATCCGTGTCTCTCCAATCTAGAGAGAAGGATGTTGTGTGTCAAAGTGCAGATAAATAACATCTGTAGCCCTTCCCTTGGGCACTGATGTAGTCACTCCATCATAGAAAGTCACTAGGTTTGTCAGACAGGACTTTCCCTTGATGAACCTGTGCTGACTGTCCCAAATCACCTCCCTGTCCTCCATGTGCCATAGCATAGCTTCTAGGAGGATCTGTTCCGTGATCTTCCCAGGCACAGAGATGGGGCTGACAGGTCAGTAGTTGCCAGGGTCCTCCTTTCTACCCTTTTAAAGATGGGTTCAATGTTCCCCCTTTTCCAGTCACCTGGGACTTCACTTGACTGCCATGACTTTTCAAGTATCATGGAGAGTAGCTTGACAACTACGTCAGCCAATTCCCTCAGGACTCTGGGATGTATCTCACTGGGTCCCATAGACTTCTGTACATTCAGGAACCTGATCTTTAGCACTTGCTAAAAAAAAAAAAGCACTTTGCTCTCCCAGTTGCCATTATGCTTAATTGAGAGGTGTGAGAAGAGAGATTGTCACTGAAGACTGAGGCAAAAAAGTTGTTGAGTACTTGAGCCTTCTCATGCATTGTTATCAGTTTACCACCATTGTTTATTGAGGGGCTACACCTTGTTTGACCTTCCTTTTCTGGTTAAATACCAGTAGAAACTCTTCTTGTTATTATTTGCATTCCTTGTGAGGTTCAGTTCCACCGTTGCCTTGGCCTTCCTCACCCCATCACCACACAAAAAAAATCTGACCACCTTCTCTATACTCTTCCCAGCTAACCTGTCCTTGTCTCCACTGTCTGTGCATTTGCTTCTTTACCTTTAGTTCGACCAGCATTTCCTTATCAGCTTCAGCTATGCCAGACTCTTGCCTTCCTTGCCCAACATCTTGCTCCTGGGGATTGCTGGGCTGCTGTGTGTGTCACCTTCCTAGACAAATACCCCATTATTCCTTTGAGATATTTCCCTGGTGTTTTCTTGTGGCTTCTGTTACCTCAGGACTGACTGGCTTATCTCCCTAAGGCTTCTAGTGTGCTCCAATGTGCCTAGCACAGTTTGGAGTGACTGGCAAAGTGCCCTCACCAGCACCCTGTCTCTCTGTCCTTTTGCATATCATCCCACAGCTTGCCAGGGTCGAGCCTGATATTGGCTCCTTCTCCCCCTACGTCTAGTTTAAAGCTCTGCCTGTGAGCCTTGCTAGTTACCGAGCAAAGACGCTCCTCCCTCTCTTGCTGAGAAAAGTGAGTCCTGTCTGATGCCAACATGCCTGGTGCTGCAGAGGCCATTTCATTGTCAACCCCCCTAAAGTTTTGGTTTTGGTGACACCAACTGTGGAGCCATAGACTCAGTCTGTCCGTTTCTTCCCATGTTGCTGCCTTCAACTGTAACTACAGGGAGGCTATAACTCATGCTCCAGATTCCCTGGCCAGGGGAAGGCCTAGAAGTCCTTTTTGATTATCCTCGGACCATGTGTGGCTACTTCCTTGACCCCTACGTGGAAGATCAGGAACGGGCAGTAGTCTGAGGGCCGCACCAAGCTGAAAAGTGTCCTGGAGACGTCTGTAACCCAGGCTCCAGGAGACACCAGACACCCCTACGGTCTGGGCCTGGTCGACATATTGGGCCTTCTGTTCATCTTACAAGGGAAACACCTACAACTATAATGAGTAAACCTTTGCCCCTGTCATCTTGACAGTGAGTGAAAGTTTTGCTTCCTTAATTCTCATCAATATTAGCAGAATTCTCAGGTATTTAAGCTCCTTACATATCAATGAGAGTCCTGGCTTTGCCGTTAGCCTGTATAAGTGCAGGTAAGCATTGTGATCTTGGATGTGAACAACTGTACAGATCCTAATATTGCAATTTCACTTCTAACATCAATGTCTTCAGTTACTTTATTTTGAAGCTTATCCAAATAATCAGCAACTCACCTTTCTTTCTCCTCTGGCATCCTTTTACTGGGATAAGGCCTGTTTGGAAACACTGGTGTGTTACTTTGAGGGTTCCTGTTCCTTTGAGATTACCTATCTGCTAATATAGTGCATGCATGTGAGTAGAGATCCATCATCACTTTCACTGAGGCAGATTAAGTCTTCTTTGATATAATTTAACAAACACATATGGATGAGACTCTGGTCTGGGAAAAGGCTGTTCTGACACCAGCTTGTTTTGAAAAAGCATGAACAAATAAAGTAGGAATTGTTCTGCATTTATTGTAAACATGTCTAAACCATTTCTACAAATCCAAGAATTTATGTATACCTTTATTTTTTAAACTATTTACATACCTCTGCACATTGTTGAATTGCCACTGTAGTCCATTCCTTGATTTTAGTAAAACTACTTGTTAAACTTGTGGAAGTTTATGTTTTACATTCAGACATGGCCTCTTCCAGGACACTTTTGCTAGAAAAGTAAGCACTATTTTATCTCTTTGCAGCTGATGAAACCATGGTTTAAAGACAAATGGCAACTCTTTTGTCAGAGCACAGTTTCACAGAGGCAGTGTTCCTATTAGAAATCAGGATTTCTAACTTTTTACCATGTGCTTAAGTTACTGACCCCACTGTCCTGTTGTAGAGAGTGGGAGAACTGCTAGATGGAGTATCTACACTGTTTTTTCAACACCTAACTGCTGCTTAAAATCTCTGAGTATTGACTGCAGTTGTGCCTTGTGCATCAGCTTTGTAAGAGGACCATTTCTGTTATACATCAGTTGCTTAACTTGCTGCTTTAGTAGAGTCATCCTGCGTATTTGTTTATATAATGTAAAATACTTCAGGATCAACAATTCTACATTCACTTAGGGTAGCTATTACTAACAGAAAATAAAAGAAAAACACAGAAAAGAGTTATATTTTATTTTAGAGATAAGCAAGCTGAGCACAGTAATCCACTGAGCTGTTTAAGTGAGAAAATATTTATAAGACCATTTTACATTCTCTAACCTGAACTGTCCGTCTTGTTCTTAAATCAGTACAACACTTTTTCCTAAGAAGACAGAATCAAACAGGCCATGATTTTACTGTAAAGCTTTTATTAACACTTTGCCAGAAACATGATTTGAATAAGAAACAACATTTATACTAGCAGAGAGGAAAAGAAAACTCACAAAAGCTGTTTTCCTGCTACCAGCTCTTGCATTCCATCCTCTTGACTTACATTTGTGAGATATCAAAGCCAGGCATCTCTTTCCCCTGAAAGGCTCACCCAGCCTACACTGGACTATGCCAGTTGTGGTAAGGTGGATAGCTATTTAAAAAAATCATAGCATGCTCTTTCTCTCATGTGAATTCTGCACTCTTCTTGCCATGTGAGCCTTGAATCCTGAGTCTGTTTTGCTGAGGAATCTCAAGTGTGCAAAATCAGCCCTCAGGCTTGAAGATTTTGTTGATTCACAATATACACAGTAGTTATTGGCTCTAACTAATGCGAATTGATTGAATTCCATGGAATCCATGGAATCTATGTTACATAGTTGCATCAGCTGAGCCACTTTGGTGAGTAGTCAGATTTATTTAGTTCAGTAAGGAGATGTTGTAACTTAGATTTAAGATATTTGCCTGCAGGGGAAGAGAGGTTCTAACTGCTTCACACAACCTCACTATTTTATGTTTCTTCTGAATACTGTCCTGGTATCCTGCTGAAACTCACTGTATCTATTACAATAATACTTTCAGGAGACTTAGATATTAAATATATTGATATCTTACAAAAAATGTGACTTCTTTCTAGCACAGTCACTCTTCTCCCTGTTGTCACTTCAAGTTATTAAAACTTACATGAAATGTATTTGGAGGTAAGGGAAAATACCCTTTTAACTTTGATATTACTCCATCTTGGCTGATAAAGTGTTGGGAACCATAATGACTTTTGATGAGTAAATTGAGCAGCTGTGCCACGGAGTGTCGGAAAATTGAGATACACAAAAAAGGAATCAACCACAGAAGATTTTCCTCTGATCCTGGATTCTTTCTATTTGGTATCTGGAGCCTTCAAGTCACATATGAAATGAAATATTAATAGTAAAGCAATTATAGATTTATGTGTTTTGTTGGTTATCAAGTAAGCCGGAAGCTCTGTACTCCATGCAATGCTTCTAGGAAAACATGCCTGTAGTAAACAGCTGAGTTCTTAAATTTCTCAGTATCATAAAATGGTTTCTATTGGGAAAGAGTTGTAGCTCACTTCAGACTCAAAGTGTAATCACGTTTTATGTTCAAATTATATAGAACTGATGTATGATGCCACTGTGATGGGATGTTGTATATCTTTCTGCTTTAATTTCTAAGCAAAACAGTAAGACACATTGTGAATAAGTTCAGAAAATGCACCTAAAGTCACTATATTTTAACTGTAATCTGATTTAGGTCTGATATGCAATAAATTAATCCAGTTTCAAAGAAATTACAGGCCAGTGACAGCTGCACCATGGTAAGATTACACAGGAATTTGGTTTAAAATGAATCCAGCTTCTTCAAAGCCTACATGTGGTGCCATTAAACCAGTGGATGCCGAGGAACCTGTCCTCATCCTGCCATTGTTAACACTAGCAACAGAGAGTGGGGAGGTGTGATGCTGAGACACCTGAATTGTTTGGGGGTGACCCAGCTTTGATTTGGATGCCTTGGTAGCTTGACACAGCGGTCAGGCTATTAAGTCTGATTGGAGATCAGGGCTTATTAGCTCTGTTGTACTGCTGAGGTCATCTGGGCTGTACAGCGTCTCAGTCCCAAGCTGAGAGGCCCATATTTGTGCTTGGCATGTAACTCTGACCTCAGATGTCTAGTATGCTTTGGCTGACACATGATTTATGCTAAAATTTGTGAGGCTTCCAGGCTTTTAAGAACATTTTTAGAAGTTATGGTTTTGTGAATCCGTGTAAATAATATGAGCCTATTTATGTTAGTGAGCCAAACAGCATAGTGGTTTGTAAAGCATTTTCTGTTTCTGTCAATACCAGGTCAGATAGTGATCACTGATCATTAACAGTTCAATTTTTTAGCACTATTAATACTATTAGTAATATGATTTAAGGACATAAATCACTGCCAGGTTCCCTCACCAAACACCACCATGTGTAATATATCCTAACTAGTCAAAATTTTCATGTTCTTTTCTAATAAATGGTTTTGGGCATATTTCTGAAATTTTTGCACATATAACTGGACTGTCCAGCTCTAGAGGTAATGGATGAAGCAACCCCTTGAGGTAGCTGGCGTATGGATGAACAAAGCAGACATTGAACCTTCCAGATGAGAAGAATCTGTGAATTATATCTATGTGAAGACCATGGTTATGTGAGAGTCTTGAAAATGGTGTTGAGGAAAATTGTACGTGAAGATCAAGGTCATACCCTAAGGAATTTGATTTTGAATAAGATTTTTTGCTTTGTGTTTCAGTGGCTGTTCCCTCAGCGGTGCCAGCTTGTGAGCCCGAGCCCAAAACTAACGGGCATCATTCATCTTCACAATTCACTGTTTCCTCACGAGCCACTATTTTTGCTGCCATGGAAGCCCCTCCTCAAGGTCTGCAGACAGTCATGAGTTGGAAAACAGTGATGGTCGTCTTTGTCGTGGTGTTAGTTTATCTGGTGACGGGAGGACTCGTCTTCCATTCCCTGGAGCAGCCCTTTGAAAGTATGCAGAAGAACACAATCGCGCTAGAGAAGGCTGACTTTCTTCGGGAGCACACGTGTGTAAATGAGATAGAGCTGGAGACACTGATTCAGGTAGGCCATGTGAAGAAGACAGTACTCCTTGGAAGTTAGGATAAACAGCTTTATGGTTCATTGGTCAACTGAGTTGGTGGGGAACAAAATTGTTCACAGAGCCCTTGGAATGGGCAGACTCCCAGTCATTTTAAAGTCAAGAAACAGAAATTATGTCTCCAAAACATTGTAAATATAGAATTATAGAATGAGCTGAATTGGAAGGGAGCCATCAGGATCATGGAGTCCAACTCCTGGCCCTGTGCAGAACATCCTGAGAATAACACTATGTGCCTGAAAACCTTGTCCAAACACTTCTCGAACTCTGTCAGTCTTGGTGCTGTGATCGCTTCCCTGGGGAGCCTGTTCCAATGCTCAACCACCCTCTGGGTGAAAAACATTTTCCTGATACCCAACCTCAACCTCTCCCAACTCAGCTTCATGCCGTTTGCTTGAGTCCTGTCACTGTTCATATAAGTGGAGAGATTGGTACTTGTATTCACTAGAATAAAGAAAGATGTGTGCAAAGAAATGCAGAACTTCGTATCTGGAAGAAATTTTTGTGAGAGGTGGCAAATTTGCAAGACATCTGCCTATTATCTCTGTAAATTTTCAAAAGGTGTTAAGTTCTTAATTCTTCCTCCAAATTAAACATGGCAACTGGAAGAGCAAACAGAAAATGATAGGTAGGATTTTTGAAATAAATATTCAGCCAAGAATTCTAAACTTACTGGTATATTAATTTACAAGTTTACTATTGTGACTTTTAAATAAATGAAGGATGATGAAGTATACCATTAAAAATAGAAAATACTTGTAACTTAAAAGCTATGAAATTTTTAAGGAAATATTAAGTATGCAAGGATAAGTGGAAAAATTTAGTAACATGCACAGAAAGTCCTTCAAAGATAGATTTATCTTTCATTGATTAAAACCCTAGACAAGGAAAATATTAGGGATCTTACAAGACTTCTGAAGAGTATCTGCTAGGATTCCATGTAGAAACCTATCAGTTATCCTGGAATAAATAAAAATTAGATAAGAAATGCAAGATACTTAAGGAATATATTCCAAAGTTGAACTTCAGACTCATGTTTCAGATCTGAATTTGTGTCTGAGCCTTCCAAGAGCACATATGTTTCCCTCTAGGGTGTTCCACCAGAGCTCTGTTGTGATTTCAGGCTGTTTGAAAGAACACAGAGCTGTCTCCTGGATTCTTGTGTCTATCTACCCACCTATGTGAATGAAATTTATAAGCACTGCTGTGACTATATAGGTTTTGGATCAAGGCTGGCTTAGATCACATCCTTCATGCGTCTGCAAAAGACAGGTGAACATGTTAGGCTGCCAAGGTTCAGGGATATTGGATATTGGATATTGTTCAGTGATACTGGATAATGTATGCTGGCTAATTAAAGAATTTTTTGAAAACACTAAAAGCAAGAAATTTGTATCCCCTTAATGGGAATGTCACTAGTAAAAGATATGCAGAACTCATACAAGGTACAACAAGCAAAGCACCTCAGCAAGTTGGTGGAGTTCTGCATAGTGACTGCAGCAGTAAGATTTCTAAACAGTCCTTATTGTCTAGCCTAAGCTATGTAGCAAAACTGATTCTTTATTTTACACAATATTGTTCTTTCTTTCACCTCAAAAGTGGTGACACTAAAATAAAGAACAGGCGTATTGTGTCATTAGAAGGCAGATAATCTGAACAAATTTTATAATCTCCTGAGACTCCAGTATGTCCTCAGGCATTACACTGGGTAACTGGAAGTCATTTTACAAAGGTAAATTAAATGGGCTTAGCAGCTTAGCATGTGAATATCTTAAAGCCAAGTGATGTGAAATATTGAAACAGATTTGTCAATAAAAAAGAAGTTTCTTTGGATTGTTCTATATGTCTAGGGGTGAAACTGGCTCCAGGAATGTAGTTGTGTATGCTGATGCAGAAAACTCTGATTGTAACTGACTTGCACAGAACAGTGAACCACTGCTTGAAGATAATGTCAGGGGGTTGACATTGTGCTTTCATGCCTTCAGGTCGATGGTCTCAAAAGTGACATTCCCCTGCCTGGCACAATCCATTTCTGCATTGCACCAAATGCTGCATCTGGCTTTACAACTGTGAGTTCAGACTGATGTGGCAACCTCCATGAGTCCTGGCTGCTGTGCTGTGTGCAGTCAGCATCTGGCTATCACTAGGGGAACTATTCATAATTAATGTTATTTGACTACCTGAAAGCCTTCAGATGAACATGGATCATACTCTCCAGAGTGACCATGTTGATTCACCTCTGTGCTTTGGAGAATATGGAAAAATACAAAAATGGAGACCTTAGAACTGACTTGTATTATTTTACTGTGGGGATAGCTCTCAATCTTTTAAGAAGAGGAAAGGAGTATCATGGTCCTTACAAGACTAATGATGGAAAAATTTATACCTTTGCCTAAATTTCAATCTTTGAAAGGATTCTCCTTTGGAAAACCTTTGAGGAAGATGTATAGCACTGTATGAGGAAGCTGCTAAAATTTAGTGGGGATGTGACATCCTTTCCAATCTTTATCTCCAATAACCAATTGCACATATTAGCACTGGTAGCACAACTTTGAATTGCTGAGTCCAGACTTGGAAGTTAATTCATAGACTTCAGAAGTAATATAGTGATGAAAGCAGTGCAAATCCCTAGGAGGATTCAAAGTATTTTAAATTTGTATTTGTCTCTTGAGTTTTGGTTCAGGTCTGTCTAACACTAACACAATGACAGGTAACTTTTTTTTAATAGTACCAAGTATTTCACAGTGCAGTCCAAACTCTCCTGAAGTGGAAGTTCTTAAGTGCACATTTTTAATGCACATTTCTGCATCTGAACATGTTTGTTGCAGTGAAGCAAGTGCTCTATTTAATGCCTTATGTGATCTACAGCTTGGAGAATAGTGAATACCAGATTAAGAAAATGACAAAACCGTGTGTTCTATATCAACACTTTTGAGTTGGAGAGAACTAAAACCTAGAATATGATAAAAGACAATAAAACTTCAGGTGCTTTAAGTACATTTAGCTGTATTGTACCTCCTGGATCAAATAGCAGAAGATAGCAGGACTCAGGTGACTAGACATAGAGTTGAAAAGAAAAATAACATTGGTAGGTACATTTGCTAACATACTATAACCCTTTCTTTTGTTCTTATGTGTTGTAACAGAAGCTTATTAGGAGCTGGGGTCAAAACCAACTGATCTTGCCTTTGCAATAATGCACACTGTGTATAATGGAGAGATTATGCCTCTTGAAACTTCAGATTTTATCTATCATTAAGAAAGGCAGGAAGACTATCATGGTGTTTTGGCAAAGTAATTCCTATGGACCTGATAAGGGTATTCATGTTCTGTTTCTATGTATCTTGTGCACTGTGTATGAGTAAAAACTTTCATAATGAGCCCTGCTTTCAGAATGAGCTTGGCAAAATGATGCAAGATGGAATGGCTTGCTACTGTAAGAAGTGACTTACGTTATTAGTGGGCTGCTTTCTTTTTCCTTGTCCACCAGGGTTTAGTTTAGTAGTGTGAGTGATAATAGGATATATATAAAAAATATTACCCACCTGGGAACTAAGTCACATTATCAATGTCCACTAATGACTACAGCAACTCATTAGAGCTAGACTGGAAGCTGAAAAGAAGCAGACCTGAAAATAAGCTACTCAGGCTTTACTGGCTAATTATATTAGTAAGAGTTCGTGTTTTGGATAGGCACTTTTGATTAGTGTTCTGAACTAGTTTTGCCCTGAAGGTAAGCAAGAAAGGGAACATCCTGTAAAGATGTTTCAGTTTGCAGCTGCTTGCTTGGTTCTCTAGTGTCATAAGCCAGCTTCTCTTTTAAGAGTGTTTCCATGTAAAATGAAAAGAACTTTCATGTGCTAGAAGAAAACTCTAAACAGAGCAGGGGGAAAAAATACTTTGAATTAACTATGGGGAAGAGTTGCTTGTTGCTGAAGACAGGAAAAGACTATTTGCACCCTGAAAAAAAAGTGGTAAATATCTGATTATTGAGTCTTCTGCTATGCCTCTGAAGGTTGTCTTATCCCAGCTTCCCTTCTTCCCCTGTCTTTCTTTTACCTTGTTCCACCTAACAAAGGTGAAAAAAAGGATGTGAAAAAAAGTTCAAATCTCTCGGGTCCTGTCCTAGTTGGTGCAGGCACCCTAGTTTTTAACTTCAGTCCAGAGCTACTCCAGTTGTAGAGGAGACAGACTGAACCTGGGATGCTGCACAAGTCTGCAGCTGTCCTGTATCTATGCTGCTTCTAAAACTTAGCTGAGAAGTTTGCAGGGAGCTAAACCCTTTGGACTTAGGTCTCTGTGCATATTGCTTGTTGAATGGTTTAGGTCTGCCCTCAAACACAGTGCATGCATGACAATCAAATCACTGTAAGTGCAAGGAAATCACTCTGGCTGATTGCCACTTAAAGACCTTTATGGAGTAGGCAAAAGTATTTAAGGAATGGGCTTTCAAAGCTTAATACTTTTGATAATGCCTGAACAAAAATTACTGGCCTTGGTCCTTCATAAATGCTATTGGGGAAAAGTGAATAAATGGGAATTTATAATGAAAAGCCCTTAATCACTGTTAGAGGGGTGATGGGAATAAATAGAGAGGTAGGGTGTATAGAGAAAAGTTATTAAGGAATTAGTTATTAAAAGCTTCTTGCTAATGAGAAGCATCCTAGAGCTTCTCAGAGAAACATCTGAGCATGAAAGGCAATTGAAACAACTTTTGTATGCTTGATAGGAATCTGCTTGGAAAAGAATTGTAGGAGATAATCATTATTAGGTTAGCATGATCTGTGGAGAGGAATTAAGAGAAGTCATAAAAAAATGGCAAGAATCTTCTTTTCTTATTAAATTCCTATCCTTGATTACACATAGGGTAGGTACGTCCTTTGAGTGGCTCAGCACTCAAGAAGGCTACTATACTTGTCCTTGGAAAAGATTTGTTGTCTTCATGCTTGGGATCTTACTAGAGGAGTTACAGAAACATGAACAAATGAACCCGGCCTTTCTTCCCAGAGAAGGTTTCTGTCTCCTCATCAGCTGCACTAGCTCACATCTATCTTGTTGCCTATGGGCATAACTCTAGACTTTTTCTTGATACATCCATCTTATTTAGTGATCTAAATAAGTATGTAAGAATGTGCCTAATATATTAGTGAAAGCTGGCATGTACTTACGACACTTACACACCATGGAGGATTCGGGCACAGTGAGGATGACCTACACCCCAGGTGACAGGGAACTGGCAGTTGTGGACCCCACCTCAACCTCCACTAGGGAGGATGGCTGGCTGTGAGGAGTCAGGGACATCCCCAAGTTCAGACTATGAGGTGCCTCCCCTGGGATGGTGATGAGCTGAGGCTGGGCCAGGACACCAGCCCACAGATCAGGCCCCAGCTCAACAGAGCCTGTGACTGGGCAGGGCAGATCTGCAGCAAGCTGAAGTCCAACACTGTGGGGCAGGGACAGTGAAACCCCAGTAGTTTCTGTTTGGTATAAGGTGAATATCATTGTTCTAATATCCATTGAGAAGAGATACTATTGTGTCCTTATGTTGTGGGGGAGAACTCTTGACACCTGGTGATACAGATTAGTGTTGACTGTACTTTTCTCTGGGCCTTGAGTCCTATATATTAACAACTAAGCAGCCCAATACGGAGCCATCCCTTGTTTAAAAGTATTTAAATATTGCTGCCTGAATATCAACAAGTGGAATTGATAAAGCCTATTCCACACTGATATGGAGTTGGATGGCACTCTCTTTGGGAATACAGGATTCAGTTGTCCTAGTATCACCACAAATGCTGGGCTTTTGCTGGCAGATTTGCCACCAGTCCCATGCAGACTATGTCACCAGACCATGTCTTTTTGGTTACAGAGGGACTGTAGTATGCTGATACCAAAGGAGCCGAGCGTAAAATACACATCTGTACAATGACAGTGAACCAAACTGAAAATTGTGATCAGAAATACATGTTTTTAAAAACAAATAACATTGAGTGCTTACATTTACTTTGGTAGTTTTTAGTTTCCTTCACTCTTACCTGCCTGTTGGCTTTAGCATACATTCATTACTTGAACAGCAACGAAGACAATTTCATCCCTTTGAGGTATTTCAAGTTATTGCCTTCCCTGAATTTCAAAAGAAGAATTACCCTAGGTTGGTAGTTATTCATTAAAGAAGATTACTCTTTCAATTAATAAAGTATACTGAAAAAATATTGTGTACTTGTGTACTGTGCTTGTAGCTCCTTTTGAGAAGGAAGAAGGGATCAGGAGAGGAGTAAGTGTGAAACAGCTTTGGGTACTTTGGTGACCTGTTACTTTCAATGATACTTCAGCTATAAAAATAGCTGAAACTACTAGTTTAAAATGTCTTAAATATGTAAGGTTTGTCAACAGAGTAGTTAGAACTCTGGAAATAAGTTTTTTGCCCTACTCCAAGATAACTTGAGGATACAGCTTTTAAGGTCATTGCTGCAAAGCCTATCTGAAGTTTCACAGATTGAAAACTGTTGTAAAATTTCGTGGTCTGTGTGAACTGGGAGAGTCTTGCCAGTGACAGTGTTCTTGTTTGAGTTTTGTGTCAGTTTTCATCTAGTAGGATACTTCTGTGTAGGTGGACTTGTGGTGGTAGTAGTAAGGCATCCTTTACTTGTTGCATGACCTGAAACTAAGTGCTGTTAACTGTAGACTGATCTTGTCTTGCTGTTTGCTTTCTGTCCTGTCATCGCTGTATGCAAAATGCTATGTATTAAAATATAGCATTGGAATAGTTGGATATTTATAAATGAATGATGTCAGTCAAGCTTTAAAGAAAAAATGAATTTGTTCGGGATGAGAAGGGAGCCTGAGAATCTCAAAGCTATCTAAGGCAACGGGACACCCCTTCAGGGGTTGGTGTTTGGCCCTAATAGACTTGCTAAACTGCGTAAACTCAAACGCAATTTAAGTGTAATTAGCTTACCGACATTCACTCACTGAAAGGGAAGGCAAGCAGCATTCCTTGGCAGAAGAAACATGCCAGGGTAGCTGATAGTGTGTCATGGCCTATTTAAACAGGTGACCTGTCTGTTATGCTGATTTATGCTCTTCTGCATAAACCAACAAATGATCTCTGCTTTAACACCACCTGCAATATGTCAGCAACTGGTACAGAAGCCCTTTCAAAGGGTTTGGTCCTAAGCACTTCCTTTCTCTATATCCTTGTTTCTTGAGGTATGGACAGGTGCCTGAGGAACCCTGGCTTTCTGCCCATGTGAAATGCAACAAGTCCAACCTGAAGCTTGCTTGTGCTGTAGTTTCACAATCAGGTTAGCCTGGCATGTAACCACTCTGCTTTTAAAAAAGGCTGCCCCATACTGATCTCTTTAGATATAGCTGTCTCTGTTTTTGCCCCTGTGCCTCTTCTCCCACTCCTTTCCCTTTTTGTGGGGCAATGTGATGAATAACTAAAAACTGGAAGTAGATTAGCTGAAACTAGCCCAAGCTAAAACAGCAGTAGAGGAATATTTATGAGCATGAAGTCAGTTGGAAATATAGGCAAAAAATGAGTGAGAAAAAGTGCAAAATGGAAGGGAAAGAAAAGAAAAAAGTGTAGTAAATATGCCATTGGAGGGAAGAGATTAATGAAAAGTGAATCATGAAGGCTAGGGAGAGAAGTGGTGTTAGATGGATGTATTTAAAAGTCAGTGCTAAAACCACAAGCAAATGTGAGGTTATAGAGAAGATCAGGAGAGCAATCATAGACATGAACAGGTGAGAAGTGGGACAATGGTAAAATAAAATGGTTACCCTTGCTTTGCGCATGGACTGTGTAGGAAAAGGTGAAGTATAAAATCACAGTGACAATTTATAGATCATAAGTCAGAGGGAAAAAAGAAGTGGTTAAAAAATGGAAAAAGTGAAAACAAACCTGTATTGTTAGGTGGAAATTCTGTGTGGACAAAGACAGAGAGGATGTAAGAAGTATCACTTTGCTTCTCCTGTTGAGTCCAGCAAGAAATTCACCAAAACTACCAAGGCTAAAGACTGGTGGCAATATTTAGAAGGAGGAGCAAATACTAGAGTGAGAGACAAGGAAAAGATCTGGCAGTAGCGTGAGTAGCCTGATAACAGCAACACGAAGTGAGGTTGGAGCAGAATGGGAGAAAGACAAAGAGCTGGAAATGTTAAGAGGCAGAAAGAGAAAAGCTTAGTTCCTTTCAGTGGTTTTGTGGAAATTAAACTCGGTTGGGAACATTTGTGAAGGATAAAGGCAGTAATTTTAGCTGTTGTTCCAGAGTAAGGTCTGAATTTCTCTATGATGAACAGTAAGTTCCCTGAGATCTACAAGCAACTAGAGAATATGTGCCAAAGGGAATCTCAAAAGTGAACTTAGAGCAATTCAGATGACTATATATATATATATACACCCCCCATATTTTTTCTCTAATTAGCATAAAATATAAATTAATCAATTTTTAATTGTGTGGAAATAAAAATCCTTGGCTGACTAGCTTCAGTTGACTTCACAAACGTTATTTGTATTTACCACCCTTCTAGCTGCTTCTAACATCAACTTTCCTTTGGCAGTACTTGCTTCAAGAATGGTATTTATGAATCAATTTGTGGTGTCAGTCCTCTACTTCTCAACTTCTTTGTATCTTTTGCCATTTTTTATGCATTGTATCTTTCTTCCACCTTAATGGCTATTCAGTTCAGTCATATATTCAACTTTTGTGTACAGAAGATGCTACTATACTTTGAGCACATATTGAAAAGCTTAAACCTAAGATGTTTCCATGGTCCTAGAAATTTCCCTTTGTAGCCTGTACCAGCTTGCATAGGATACAGTGAGGCATGCATAAGGCTGATTTGTTGTCTCTTTGCAGCATGCTGTTGATGCTGATAATGCAGGAGTCAGTCCTGTAGGACCTTCCTCTAACACCAGCAGTCATTGGGACCTTGGAGGTGCCTTTTTCTTTGCTGGAACAGTCATCACAACTATAGGTATGTTTATTTTTTAAAATACAGTCACACTGAGACCTGGACAATGAAATAATTTGAGGAAGGTAGACCACAAAGAAATAAAGTAGCTGAACCCTGCTCCTCTCAGTTTGCAGAAGGCATGCCTCTGGTATGTGCCAAGGGCATTGGGTCTCTAGGGAAGTGTCAGAAGCAGTTTACACAATTAGGATAGAACAGCAATGCTGAGCTGAAAACAGGTAATACTGATGCAAGCTTTATAACCCTGTTCTTGATGTAGATGCACACAATCTCAGTTTTCACTAAAAAGATCAAGAAGCAGTACCCAGTGAAATTCTATGGTTGTTGGGAATTTGGATTTTAATGTTATAGATGAATTTGCCCATAAGGGTAACTTTCTTCCTAAGTACATCAGCTAATTTTGGCTTATGCTCTGAAGTTTAATATCAGCAATTCTTCTCATATCTTACTCCCTGTAACTGGAAATATATTCCCATAAGTATTACATCCTTTTTAAAATCCTTACTTGCTTTCATATTAAAAATTGGAAGGAATTCCACAAATTATACATTGTGTAAAAAAATCCACCTTTTTTTCATTTCAGAATTCATGGCCTTGAATTATTGACACATTTTTCTGCATTAAATGAAGGGGTATATTGAGCTGCTCTATTCACTTTTCTTGTACCACTAATTTTACTAAGATAATTCATGCCCTTATCATCTGTCTCTCCATGCATTGTGTCCCATGTAATAAATTTCTTGATCTCTAAATATTAGCCTTAGATATCCTAAGGTTTTTATTCTCTCCTCTGTAAGCCAGCTTCATCTCTTGAAGAGTGTTCAGCAGCTGGGATTTCAGAGGATAGTCTGAAGGAAGAAGAAAATAAACCAATAACATTGATGATAAAGTTAATCCCCTAATAATTATAGAGTAGTTTTACAATTTTAAGCTTGATCTCAGTGCTGTCATAGTTAGAGAGCAAGAGATCTGATTATTTGGAAACAACTGGCAAACTGTTGCTCTTTATTTGCATTGCCTTTGAGTATTATTCTGCTTTAAATAGCGGATAAAGTGATTCTCCATATTAAAACTGTAGTGCACGCAGTGGTGACTGTACAGACAAGTAACCTGACAATCACATAACTCTTCATTGAAGTGTGAGAATCTGACTAAATTCTGCAGGTTTTTTAAGCAGGTAATACAACAAAAAAATCCTGTGGCAATGAGAAGACTTGCTGTGGTGATCATCTCAAACTGGAGTCTGTGCCTTTGGCTCTGCCTTTTCTTTGTTGTCAGAGTGAGGAGGAAAGAGTGATTGTATAGAGCCTCCCTGTGTTCCTTTATATATTAAGCTACATTACCATGTATTTTTAATGGTAGTGTAAAACCAGCGGGTGGCAAGAAAGGAAACACTTCTGATTCAAATGTAAGAAAACCCTTTCTTAATATTTGTTTACTCAATAGACCCAAGCGACAAGCTTTTAAAATACTCATTAAAATAAATGCCACTGTGTAGGCATAGTTTATTTAGGTCTATTCATTGACATTTGCTATTTAAATAACATATTGAAAAAACCTTGGATTTTTGCCCATATTTGTTTTAAATTCTTCATGAATGAGACTTTTATAGGCTGCATAAAGTCTGTGTATTTTGTCAGGGCATAAAAATGACTTTAGTTTATCCACCAGAGAGGCCATTATCCACCGTTAGGGCTCCTCTTAGGCAGAAAATCAGCAGACTAGCTGGTCAACTGCAGTCCAGTGACCTGTGGAGCCTGGATTTTTTTGGACTATTAGGAGAAATCTGGGATCATGAAAAGGACAGTAGGTTATGGGACACACAGTGTTGTGTGTCAGCATAGTTCTTTCACCATCCCATGACAGAGAGATATATCCAGTGCCAGTGTCACCAACCTAACAGGATGAGGACCAGACACTCTCTTAGATCTCCACTTCTCTGGATGCTTTATTTTATCAGTGATTTGTGACTGTGTGATAATTTTTAATATTCTAGTACTTATGTGTAGTTAGAATCCAAATATCTATAACATTTCAATAAAGGTACCTGATCTTAAATAAAAAGTTGCAAATATTACTGTCAGAATTCTTGAGTTTTTTCTCTAATATTTTAGCAGAAATACTATGGCTACTGGAGTCATAATGCTCTACTGAATAAAGAGTTCAAGGGCAGATTTGCATAGTGTGGGTACAGTTTGGAGGCTGCAACTGGTCAGTATGATGAGGGACCTAGGAAATTATGAGCTAACCACTGAAAATGATTCTTTCCAGGTGAATCACACTCCCATCAGGAAACCATTGGCACAGGCCAAGAGGAGCAGCAGTATGCAGGCACTAGGCCAGCATGAAGGGATTTTTGTGCCATGATGTCAAGCTAGATTAATTAATTAAACAACAGTTTTAGATAGGCTGAATCTATAGAAAATGTGGGTAACTGAGGCTAAAAGAAGAATGGAATAGCAGGGAGTAGCTTGCCTGGGAAATGACATCATGCCATGGAAAGTCTATAAATAGGAATTACAGATATGCCTGCAGGAAGAACAGTTTTTTAAATCCTATTAGTTTTTTTCTAAAAAGCTGTGTATAAGTTATGAGAGTCTGACAATTTTTTTTCTCCTCAGGGTATGGGAAGATGGCCCCAAGCACTGTTGGAGGCAAGGTTTTCTGCATCCTGTATGCCATTTTTGGGATTCCACTGTTTGGCTTCTTGCTGGCTGGGATTGGAGATCAACTTGGAACCATCTTTGGGAAGGGTATTGCAAGGGTGGAAAAAGTTTTCAGAGTAAGTTCACTGTCAGTTTTTGCTGGTGTTGTATAGCTCTTAATTCTGTTGCTATTACCTGCAGCCCTTTTTACATGTTGGGCACCATGAAATATTTACATGTCTAGTTGAGATTATGGTTAATGTCCTTAAGGGCCTCCATAGCCAGTGGAGAGAAACAGACTTCTCTAGATGGTGATGCAGGGGTTATAGGTCTTGCTTGAATTTCCTTACTGAGGGTATCTCTGGGGAGTGTATCTCCTAAGCTTTGTTCGTTACAAGGAATGGTTGTAAAACAGCCTTCAAAACACCACAGGTTGCTTTGAACATATATGTCTGTTCGCTAAAAACAGAGAGAAGGTAGTGGTAGTGTAACTTCTGGAGGAACAGGAATGCAGAGTAGGTCCTGACTGTATTACTAATAAAGCCTAAAAGACTTGGAAAGTAGGGTTACTGCTGTGAATGTGAACTTGGGAAGAGAGATGACTGAGTGATATGTCTTCACTGCAAGGAGACAGATGTGTTGGAGTACATTTGCAGCTCTATGACAAAAAACTGCTGTAATGCCAATGACTGAAATCATCTCTATGGTATTTACCTCTGTGCCCACCCTACATTTTTATATAGACTTTCTGATATGTAATTTCCCTTTACATTGCCAGTACCCTCTGTTTTTGAGTCTGTATCATTGTAAGCACTTTATTCACAAGCAGTGCCAATGGTTCACTTCAAGGATTCTCTCTTTGAGGCAGAAGGTATAGAAGTGACCTGCATGATGCTTCCCTTGGAGGTGACATAGCAGACGATAAGAATTTCCAGGGACTGAGTGGATGAGAAGCTGTCCAAGCTCATTAGTTTATTAGGCATCTATTTCTAAAACATTCCCACAGATGAGAGCAAATTAGTTGTAACTGTCTTTGAAAGGAAGTAATTAAGTATTAGACTGGAGTATGAGCAATTTCCATTTTGATTAAATGACTGTGGAGTGTCCCAGACCAACCATAAGTAGTATCTCTCAGACTAAATGTGGAAAAAGGTGACTAGTGATTATGAGTGAGTAAGCATCTACATGCCTGTCTGGGGAGCACTTGAAAAGGGCCTGTATTTTCATTAAATGAAAATAAGGTTATTAAAAAGTGTCTCAGGTTAGTTCTGCAAAAACAGAAGTAGCAAGATCCCTAGTTTCTGTTTTGCCTACCTTTTTATTATACTTGCTTCTCTTCAATGGAGTCTCTGAACCTTCCAACCTGCTTCTACCCAAGAAAAACAACAATCTTGAAGTCATGATATGAATGGAGAGTCAGAAAACTTTGATTAATTGTCGGCTGAGTGACTTTCCTAGTGACATGGAAAGACCAGTAAAGTGTCAGCATGATAGTTAATGATTAATCAGAGAATCACAGAATGGTTGAGGTTGGAAGGGACCTCCCTGCTAAAGCATAATATATACTCAAAGTATTTTAAGATTCACAGATGAATGCTGATACTAATATTTCATACAGAATATAGCCCTTTGGCAAATAATGTGAGTTCTCTTGGTATTCCAAGTATTCCTTCCTTTTCTTGAGTTAATGCAGTTGCTTGCTGTTTATAGCCATCTAAAAAATTTGTTTTTCTCCTTGGTACTTTGTCAGCTTCCAGAGGAATTTAGAGGTCTGTGGTCTTCTTGTTTAGCCAAGATGTATGTTTATTCCTTTGATTTTGATTCTCATAAATCCATTACATCTATTCTTTTGTGATTTGGTGGACAGGGTTATACATAATTTCCTTCATTATTCTTAGTAATGAGTTTCAACTATTTGAAATATTCCTGATAGAGTTTACAATTTGCATGCATCTTAATAACTAAATACCAATCGCTTCACTTTAAATTATTATTTACATAACATTTTACATATGCAGAATATAATAATCATTATAATGTGTGATAAACTGATACATAATGTTAGTAATTATATAATTTATTATCACATCGTGTTTACATGTTTAGGCTTCATAAATATTTGGATCTGATCAGGTGAACCCACAAGTGGAGTAACACTTCTTGATTTAGTTCTGAGCACTAACAAAATTTAATTCAGTGTGTAAGTCCTGTATCTTACTTCGTAATTGTCTCCTTAATGCATTCAAATTCAGCATGTTTGTGGGCGTAAAACAACCTGCTACAACCTTTAAAGAAGGAACATAAAAATTAGGAGAATAGTTAGCAAGAAACTAAAAGGAACAGACATAGGCTAAAAAGATACTAAAAAGCATAATTTAATGTCGTGTTGTGTGCCTGACAAATCTTCTGGAGCTAGCTCAGTGGTCACTGAGTGTGTATCAATGATCCAGTGATATCACAAACTGAATTTCCAAAAATCTTGTGACAAGTTTCTCATAAAAGGCATGTTGTTTTGAAAAGCAATTAACAGAAATGGAAATCAGTGCTAAGTCTCCCCCATGGGCCTTTTAGTGGAGTCTCTAAGATGAAATTCACTAGCTACCTGTATTATTTGTCCTCAAGGTCAATTTGGGACAGTGCAGTTTCTTGTAGAAAGAATGGGAAGAAACTGCATGTGTATACTGCATCAAGTTTCCATGTTCATATGCCTCAGCACTTTGCTTCTGCCTGTATCCAGTTGACTGTTTATCCCATTCACTCTTAGTGCGTAGCTGGTGTCAGGGCAGCCAAGACTTCCTGAAATCCTTGCAACTTTGTCATTGTCTGTAGAGGTAGATGGGATTTGATGATCTTTCATTGAGGTTAGGATATTTTTTGAAACTAGGTAAGAGGCAGTGTGCATATGCTGGCAGGTGGGGAGTAGAGGAAGATTTCTCTGTTGGCACAGCAGTCTTTTCACCCAAAGCATTTCCTTAACAAGTCTCTTGCGCTATCCAATATGAGTATGGAGCCCATGCCACACAAGGGACAGCTTGCCTCTGGCATCCCCTGCCATAGCTGGAAAGATGAAAGGAGGATTCCTCCCAGAAGAGTTGTGCTAGTGCACTTCTGCTGCCTCTGAAATGACCTGTGCAGAGCCGCACCAAACCTACCTTAATTAGCAGCACAAATGAGGGCCTTAGAATCCACATTTAGCTGTTACAGTGATCAGCCCACGCATTCTGTGAGAATTTCAAGAACAATTTGAACTCCATAAAGTTAGAAAGAGACCCACTCTAATCAAATACATGGTACCCTCACAGTATTGACAGAATATTTCACCAGAGGAGTTGGACACATGCCACCACTCATCTTGAAATCCAAAATGCTGCCACTAATTTTGGTGTGTAACTAACCAGGGGAACAACTATTCATTTGTGACTAGGTAGGGCTGGAAGTATTTAATTGCAAAATAATGCTTTGTGAAAACTGGAACTTTTAATGTACCATTTAGGAAAGGGAAGCACTGGCACAGTGATGCTGCGTGGGATACAAGGAGGTATCCTGAACACCATGCATTGATTAGTCTATGCCATCTGTCTTTCTGGAGTAATTATGTTTGATACAAGTAAATAAATATCAACCTGGTCAGAGATGTAAACCAAAGCTTCCCCCACACAAGCCCTATCTTCTCAGCTACTGATTATTCCCGTATGACCCATCTTCAGTAATCTGGGGAAGAACCTGGCTCCTAGTCTTACATGCATACAAGTCTGATTCCCCAGAAAATGGGTATGTACAGGGCCACGAGATTCACTATATACACTGATCACAACCATTCATTTTCTAGGTCCAGTGATGAATCAGTTCTCCCAGCACATCTGGGAAAAGCAAGTACACACTTAAAATCTAATTAAAAAAGTGGCAATTCCTATAAATAGTTTTTCACCTGGTGAAGCTTTCCAGACACAACAGAAATGAAATATGCATTTCAAGGTGACATAAAACCATAAAAGTAGTATTTTTGTCTTACATATATGAGGGATCTTATGAACAACCCGTGAATGTGTCTACAATAAACAGTACAACAAGCTCCATTCTTTAGGCTTGTTCTGTACACACAGGGACTGCAACCATCTAAAGACAGAAAGGAAAGCACTCCATAGGCAGAGCACACTGTTACAGCACAGCAGCTGTCATTATCATGTGTTAAATATAGGCTAAATTCAGATAGTCTTTATGCAAACTTTGAATGAGTATTTAGATTCTCACCACAAGTAGATGAGATTAGCATAACCTGAACGATCTTCCCTCATCTTGCAGTTCAGTACAGATGCAGGCACTCAGCTTGGGAACTGTGTGCTTCTGAGAGCACTCCAGGATTTTATGGCTTCTGAGGTAAAGCCACTGTGAACACAGTTCCTTGATTTGGTTACTGCTTTCACTCCTGGTTTACAACAGGATGCTGAGGATGGGTCTGGCAGCACAGCTGGTAGAGTGTGAATTGCAATACAGGGATGTGAAAGAGCAGCCAGAGACATGGGTGGTAGCAAGGCTGCACCACTGAAAATACACTACTTTGTGCTGAAAGGGAATGCCTCTGTAAGCAACTCAGGCTTCACTGAAACAGGGACTTGTCAGAACAGACACATCTACTAACCTGTCTTTCAGGGTTCAGCTTAGGAACATGTTTTGCTCCAGTTTTAAGACACGTGGTGTGAAAGTGATCTACACTTTTTAAAAATTTTTTCTGAAAGACAGCAGTACACATCACCTAACCTCAGAACAGTCCTTGGAAAAGTACTTCTTAGTTATCAGATGAGGCTGGGGGAGAGGAGTGAGAGTAGTCCAACTGAGCTGGTGAAAAGCTTCCTTTTAGCAACTGTCAAAGCTCTACTTTTCCTAAACTTTGTTGTTTGTCTTTCTGAATACATGAGATTTACCCTAGCTACCCTTTCTCTTAGAGATTCAACTCCCTTTTAGGGATTTTTGGCTTCTTTGGTCTCTTTTCTTACTGTATAAATGACAGGAATTGTTTTTACTAATACCTTCCCTAAAAATGAATGGAAAACAGAACCAGGGAAAGAAACTTTGTACGAGAGAGTAACTGGGCAGAGGAGGAACGCTTAAAAATACAGTCTTTTTAACTAGTCTTCCC